CCCCCCTCTTCGCCGCTTGGGGCGGCAAAAAAGCTGGAGCCGGCCCCGGTTATAACCTTAATACATATTCTTCAAAAAGAACAGGAGTACTTGTGGCACCTTAGAGACTAACAAATTTATTAGAGCATAAGCTTTCGTGGGCTACAACCCACTTCGTCAGATGCATATAGAGTGAAACATATATTGAGGAGATATATACACACATACAGAGAGCATGAACAGGTGGGAGTTGTCTTACCAACTCTGAGAGGCCAATTAAGTAAGAGAAAAAAAACTTTTGAAGTGATAATCAAGATAGCTCAGTACAGACAGTTTGATAAGAAGCAAGTGTGAAAATACTTACACTTTCACTCTATATGCATCCGACGAAGTGGGTTGTAGCCCACGAAAGCTTATGCTCTAATAAATTTGTTAGTCTCTAAGGTGCCGCAAGTACTCCTGTACTTTTTGCGGATACAGACTAACACGGCTGCTACTCTGAAACCTACATATTCTTCACAATTCAGAGATAGATGTAGGTTTCATTTTTAGAAAGTACACACTATACATTTTTAAAGTGATTTATTTTGAAAACTTTTCAGATTAGTTTTACAGCTATATCAGAAAATGAATGATTTTTTTGGTTATTTCATTTACCAAAGGTAGTTGAAGCAGATATTTATGAAGTCACTGAGAGGTGAGCTATCTCCAATTCAGCAAGTTAATCATTAATATTTGGAGGATTTTTTTGCCATGCGGTATTAGGAGGAGAACATCACCAAACAGACATTTAAATTGTTTTATTTAACTAAAACAACAAGATTATGTATTCTAGATTTTTTTTCTTCAACAGCAAACATAATGTTTTAACAAAGCAAGGATATGAATTTTTGAATTTAAACATTCAAGTTTTTTTAAATCAGGTTTGTTTTTGTTAAATTGTTTTTAACTAAAATAGTTAAATGAAATATTAAAAAAAATTGACTGTGTGGGCCAGGTCAACATGAGAAATTTAAAATATTGGCTTCTGCAGCTAACTCAGTAGTCTTCCCCTTCATTTTCCTGTTTCTTCGTAATCTGGAAAAGAAAAACAAGCTTTCCTGCTTTTTCAGGCCCCAAACAATTTCACTGGTCTGACTTCCTTTAAAACATCATCCGCAAACATATATTTCTTGAATGGTTCACCCTTAGCTCTGAAGTTTATTATAGTTGGCATTATGGAGGGATGATTGCTGGATGTCCATGTCATAGCCAACTCCTCTTCTTCAACAGTTACGGTTTGACCCTGGTACCGAGTATTGAGAATATTTAAAAGAAAATGAGCTGGAGATGGTGACTGTCCCGTTCGTTTTTTTTAATGCTTATAATTTAACTCTGTCATTGCATATTTCTCTTTTTAAGATCTCACTCAGTTCCTTCCAATAAAACAGCTATTTCCCTACATTTTGTTCAAGACTATAGAAATAGGCTTCAGAGTACTCAGCATGTGTTCAACATTTCTCTTAAGCCCAATGTTGAGAACTTTGGCTGTGACAGTGCCATCTATTTTTTCACAATTTTGTTCACAAACTGTCATCAGATTAGGTCAGCTCTTGCTATAGTGCTCAAAACAGTCCACTACTTCGTTCCATCGCACGTCTTGTGGGAGAGTTAGCTTGGTTCCTCCCACTTTTTTCAGAGCAGCTGCTGCAAAGTGGTTGTTATGGAAGTATTTTGCAGTTTCAACAACATTAGCCTTTATTTCTGGAACACTGAAGTCTTTGGCTAGGAGGTGCATCAAATGAGCACTGCAACCATATGTTATTAGCTTGGGATTATCTTCTAAATAATTTCTTCTCATCTTGGTTACATTTGCCGCATTATCTGTGACCAAGCTGCGTACTAGACATTTGAATTTTTTTTCATAGTTTGTTATAGCTTTTACTGCTACTTCTCGTAAGTATTCTGCTGTGTGTGCATTTCCTGATGTATCAATTGTTTCTGTAAGAAAGACATTCCCTTCTTCAGTTGTCACACAAGCACATACAGCAGAATCATTTTGGACAATGCTTCACCCATCAAGACGCAGGTTAACAATTTTACCCTCTAGACCTTTTACACACTGCTCAATTTCTCTTTCATATACTTTATCCAGCAATTTGCCTGCGACATCTGCTCTGTTGGGTGGACTGTATCCTGGTCTTACTGACTGAACCATGTTAACCAAGTCGGGGTTCTCAATCATACGGAAAGGAGAGTTTGTTGCATAAACAAACTGGGCAATTTTTTCATCAATTACCTCTCTTTGTAATCTGCTGCTTCTTATCACAAATTTATCTATGGTTGTTTCTGGATGATGGAGATTTTTTTTTCTTTTTGCTACAGGTGATAGACTGTGGATGTGTTACATACATGATGTGACTGAAACACTATCATTGGCAGATAACTCTAACTATAGACAATGATGGTGATCTTGAAGGTGGATAGTCTTCAGAATCCTATATGTTGAGGATGGATTCTTCTAAACAAAATAAGTCAATGCAGTTATTTTAATTATTATTACCATACTGCTCATTTAGTATTACTCAGTCTGGGTGTATCATACGTGCCAGCTGAGCACATCTGGGGAGGGGGGGGGCGACTCTGCCCCTCTAGTCAGAGTCTCTCTCACACACCCACACCCACACCCACACCCACACCCACACACCCCCCCCAAGGATACAGAGAGAGATACAGCCAGATGTTGGACCTGGGCTTGAACGCAGATGCCTACACACCACCTCCTTCCTTCAGGACATGCTGGAAACGGCAGTTGCCCGGAACCCTCGAGCGCCTGCTCCCACTCCTCCCTGGCACTGTCCTTCATTTGCAAGCTGGAGAGCCTGGCTCTGCTGGGTCCCGTGGCCCCTACTGGCTGATAGTAGCTCTGCAGCATTAATTCTGTGCAAATTCTGCATTGCGCAGTGGCACAGAATTCTCCTAAGAGTAATAATGTGTGTAGGTTTTTTAACTAACAAGCAAAAACAAACAGCACCCAGTTTTGATGCCTACACCACTGCAGGTGTGTTCAACAGATAATAAAAACCTGCAAGAGTGGGGATTTATTTAGACAATTCTTGAACGAGAAAAGCAGTTAGACATCATAGTATCTGTTGTTCTCTCAGCTGACTTGACCATCTGGATCCATACTCCATGCCCAACTTTCCTACTTTTGAATCCCAAGTTAAGGATTTCTGAATTACTGTACATGATTGAAGGGTGGTTAGAGCCATGTCGCCATTCATTGTCTTGGAACCCAACTGGGAGGGGATTGGGTCAAGTGGCAATACTGGGCACTACTTGTTCGAAGCTTCCCAGGTTGCACATTGTGGGTGCGTGCTTCCAAAGACTGTGGACCCACATGGGTAATCCTCTCAAAGAACCATAATTACAATGGTAAATAGAATTTTTTTTCTTGGGCTTTCTGCCAACGTATGACATAGGAATCTTTTTGTATATCTTTGTGTTATCTATTCTAGAATGCTATTATGATAAGTTAGTGTGTGTGTATGTGTGTGTATATATATGTATATGTGTATATACACACACACCGTGATCTTCAGGAGGGAGAAAATACAAATATTTTTAAAAATTAGCTTCTGAAACAATCTTTTTAAAGCAAAGCCGACCAGAAATGTTTTCTCTACATATAAAAAGAAACTGTTCAATATAAGCCTTCAAAAGTCCTTTTGAGCTATTAACTTGTACATCAAGTTGAAATCTTGTTGCAAATTAGAATTGCTAAACCCTTATTCTTAATGGTCAGTTTACATTATAAACACAGTTCAACTATGTTGGTGCCAGTGGATTCAGCTTCAATACTACTAAATATCTTTAAAAATTGTAATATAACAGTCTGTTGTAGCTATTGTGCATTACAAAAGAAGGAAGTTCTTCCAAGTTTAGCACTAGAGAAGTCAGACGCTGATTTATTATTGGATAAAATGTAAATACATATGGAAGTGGTATATGGGGAGGAGAAATGGTATAAAAAGAATTCAATCATAATTAAACTAAACGACAAACTGTTAAGCACCCAGATGCTATGGCAGGTATGTGAAAAATGTTTGTTAAAACTACTTAATCTGCATTTTGTGTAAAGCGTTTAGAAATACTTAATACACCTCTACCCCGATATAACGCTGTCCTCGGGAGCCAAAAAACCTTACCGCATTATAGGTGAAACCGCGTTATATCGAGCTTGCTTTGATCCGCTGGAGTGCGCAGTCCCGCCCCTTCCTTCTCCCCCCCCCCCCCCCCCCCCCCGAGCGCTGCTTTACCGCGTTATATCCAAATCCATGTTATATCAGGTCGCGTTATATTGGGGTAGAGGTGTATTGTACACCAAAATCTCTGCCTGTGCTGAACATAATTTTTAACTTTGTTTGCAGAGGAGAAACATTCCCATGAAACCACCAGATGAAGTTAAAGTAAGTTTCCTCTAATTTTTCCCACACATGTGCGGAATGAATTTTATGTGCACCAATATGGAGGTAATGTGAGACACATGTCCTTCATATTGGTGCACATAACAAAATTAATGTGGTGGGGGTGGGGCCGAGGGGTTTGGAGTGTGGGAGGGGGCTCAAGGCTGGGGCACAGGATTGAGGTGCAGAGGTGTGAGGTCTCTGGTGGGGATGTAGGCTCTGGAGTGGGGCCGGGGATGAGGGGCTTAGGGCTGGGGCAGAGGATTGGGGGGTGAGGGCTCTGGGGTGGGGCCAGGGATGAGGGGCAGAGGGTTGGGGGGTGCAGGCTCTGGGGTGGGGCTGGGGATGAGGCGTTTGGGGTGCAGGAGGGTGCTCTGGGGCTATGACGGGGAGAGAGGACGCCTCCCAGCTCTCTGTTCCCACAGCAGCACCTGTGCTGTGGGGGAGAGGCGCCTCGGCCTGCCATGTCAGCTCCACGGCTGGGGCCGCAGGATAGGCATCCTTCTCCTGGCCGTGGCAGGCCGGGGATGGGGCACTGCTGCAGGTCTGGGCCGGGGCTGGGTTCAGGCCGCCCCTCCACCGGCTGCAGCAGGTCCAAGGCTCAGTTGCGGCCGGGGGAAGGGTGCCCCGGCTGCGACAGGTCCGGCTTGGGGAGGGACGCCCCTCCCCTGGCTTCAGCAGGTCCCAGGTGGGCAGGTCCCCTGAGCGCCTGCGCGGCGCTAAATAGGCTGCTGCGCAGCTTACAGGGAACTTAGCTAAAAAATGTTTTTATTGGAAGAATATATAGTAGGGTCCTTAGAACAGTTATTTCCAACCTGTAATTTAGAAAAGTACTTAGTGGAATATTCCCCTGTCTTCCAAAATTCATTGTTTATGCTTTGTTCAGCTGTGTGTGTGTGTGTGTGTGTGTGTGTGTGTATATATATATATATATATTAATTATACAGCAAGATAGAAAGGTAAAGTGTGTTTTGTGAGGAGGGGCTATTATACACCACTTCTGCTATAAAGTGGCTTACATTTGCCCTCTAAGTGGGTGTGGTGGCTTATTAGAGCTATGTTGAAGCCTGTCGATTTTAAAAAATTGCACCTACCAAAGAAATCACAAAATGCTAGAATTTTATATGGGGGCACAAGTCCAGACCCATGTGAAGTTATTGACTATTTGATGGAATCCTCGAGAAGTAAAATGCTAAATTGTAAAGTGTTAACAACTCGACTCTGATTTGGTGATTTAGGTTCTGCCAGTTCTCATAAAGGAAGAACACAGATTGCGCAATACCTGCCCAGACTCCTCCAAACAGATTATGGTAAGATTACATTTTTCTTTTATAGATTTTATATGGGCAGAAGAGAGTGGGGCTGAGTACTCTGTCTACTCCATGCCTCACTTTTATGTGTGCATGAATGTTTGTTTAGGGGATTTAAATGTATTTATATTCTAGGTATTTGCAAATAAGAAAATCCAAACCCCTTCAATGGGGGAGAATTTTGATTGGCTTTACTTCAGTCATATCTTACAATTCTGTCTTTACTTTTTAATTCAGTTTTATGGCATCTGAAATTGCTATAAAAAGAATGCAATAAATAACATCCAAACTTACATCATGCTTATGTAATTTACATTCCATAAGCACAAATACTACATTAAATAAAGATAAGAATCTTTTTAAGTGAAAGATTGTTGGTCTGCACACTTAAATCTTGGTGGTCAGCCACTGATCAACGTTGTTTGAGTTTCCATCCCATTATAGCAATGAAAACATGTACATATTTTAGTTTTCACACTGTGGATCATGATTTTTTTTTTTTTAAATCCTTGTGGAAATATTGAATATGGTTGGTGGATTAGAGAACATAGTCTTTACCAGATAAATGCAATATGAACATCAACTCCAAATCTTGAATTTGATACACTATCATCCGCTGAAAAGTGTGCTGAACTTTTAATACATTAATTTGCATTGTAGGTTTTCTAAACTACATAGGAGGTTATATAGGATATCTCCAAAAATGTGCACAAAACCCTGTAATATCTTTTGGCACTTTTTGATTGATTGCACTATACATGGGAGAATCAGATGTGGACTTGACTCCCTCTCATATCATTCCCATACCTTCTGTGAGGTCCAGATGCTGAAGCTGCTTTGGGCTCAGTACTCCCATTGGCCTGAAGTCAGTGGAAGTTCTTCCCAGAGAGCAGTTTTAGAATCAAGCCTTGCGACACTGTACTTAACCTGTTCTGACCATGTGGGTTGTGCATGGGCTGCAGTAAAGTGGGAACTGAATTGTTTTAGCTTTTGAAAACTTAGAACAGTCAAAAGGATCAATGGAACAGAAATTGCACTAATGTATTCCTTAGTTTCTAATGGGTCCATGTAATTCTTTGTGTTTTCCAAACACATGCCTAAGTGTATTTTCCTTTTTAAAAAATCAACATTTGCAGCCCAACACTCATGACCAGACACACGCTAGCTCTGCCTGAGCTAGCATGCTTAAAGAATAGCAGTGTGGCTGCAGCAGCAGCCCAGCCCCCTGGGTACGTACTCGGGGGCCTAGCTCAAGCTGCTGCCTGTATGCCCACGACCACACAGCTCTTTTTAGCATGTTAGCTTGAGCCGAGCTAGCACGTCTGTCTACACATACATACCCAGCTGCAGTGTAGACATACCCATGGTGACAGCAAATAATATTGCTATATTCCTTGGCAGTCAGCACTGAAAGACATTGCTAAGGATTTCATTTGAGGGTAATAGTTTCTGTAATCAATTTTAGAATGTACTTGTGATCACTCAATAGAATTCATACAAGTGCTGCCTGTTCGTTAGATTTACAAAATTAATGTTGAAATGGCTGTCTTGAAACGCTGTATGCCGTGATTCCCATAGTAGGTGAAACATGCACCCTGAGAGCTTTCTGGATAGAAATGTTCATTGGGGCTCCACTCCTTTTCCTTTCATCTCCCTTGTGAGGATGCAGAAGGAACATTCATGGCTGATCCACTGTATACAATGCCATAAAGATAAGGTGATAACGTGCTTAGAAGCCCAAGTTCTTATCAAAAGTGGTTTCTGTCAGTCCATCTGCCTACTTGTATTTTTTACTAGGGTTCATTTGTTACCAGGGGAGTCTGATCTGCCTTTTGTGAATGTTAAAAAATAGCTTTTAATTACTATTTGAACTGGACTAAGCCATTCTGTAGGACTCTTAGGTTGTTCATAGCACACAGGGATAATACAAGGTGAAAAAACGATCACCTTCAATAGTAACTTAAGTTGTCTGGGATGATTGATTGCCTGGAAACCACATTCCCTGCCCTTCTTCCCCCATTATTTTGTAATGGGAGGGACAAGGTGGTAGTTGAGGCTGCACCTGGGGATATCCTCAGGTGAAGGAGTCATGGCAACACAAAGGGTGTGTGGCCAGACGGGACTGACAGTCCAGAAAGTGCTACGCTCATACATTAGTGCACACTTCTAGAGTGAGGATCCATGCAAGCACTCACTTTGAAGAATCACACTTGCTGTGATAATTAGTCATTATCATCATCTACAGTTCATTTGAGTCTTTTTCTCCTCTTTATTGTATTTTTAATCAGGTTGGAGAATCAATTGGAGACAGTAACACTTCCGTTTTGGATTTTTTGTCTGTGAAACCATATTCAGATGTGTCTCTTGATATTTCCATGTTAAGTTCACTGGGTAAGTGATCTAATAATGTTGTCATTTAAGTGTTCTGTGGTGATTTAGCTAACCATTTAGCTGGGGTAACGCCATGGTTTGCTGAAGTGTTTGAGAAGTTTTAAAAATGTGGTCTACATAGACAAGGTCTTAGTCAAGCACAGGAGATTCATCCAGTCTTGATCTTTCTTTTGTTTGGACATTTCTTTGCCCCACGCTGGCCCAGCTTCTTTTTTTATTGCACCTTATCAAACAAAATATATGTACGTACGTTAGAAAGTTTTGGTTATGACATTCATGCTGATTTGAGTTCAGGAATGAATCTAAAGAACTTCCACGTAGTATACTTTAGTGCCTTGTAGGGAAATTGCATAGGGTGTAGGGATGTAGTTCCTTGTAAGAATGGCTCACAGCCATTATTTTTTAAATGCCACAGAAATATACAAATGAACATTACTGTTGACCACAAATGAAATATTTTGAAAGAATGACTGTAGAATCTCTTCCAACATATCATTGTCATTGAAACAAGTCCTGCTTATAATTTTAAGTTTTGGTTAATTAAATATCTGAGAAGAGTCCCTGCGTTAAAAATGGGAGCAAGGCTGCAGAAGGCCAGAAAAGTAGACTGAATGTTTTCCTACAGACTTTTGCCGTTTTTTCTATAGAAGATGCAGCCTTTGGGAAAGCAATGACCAGTTCCGATTATAACTGCTCCACAGATGTAAATGTTTTTCTAGCAGTTTAACAACATACACTCCTATTCTGACACAACTGTATTTCTTGCATAACTTAAACAAGTGACGTTTTTTGTTGTTGGTTTTTTTGGGTCTCTTAAGGCCTCTGGATGTTTATCTTGCTGTCAAGTGCAGTAGTCCTAGAGTATCTACCGACTATACAGAGATTTTGGTATGTCACGTTTCTCATTTATAGGGGAAGTTGTCAGTGTCTAATGTATCAGTGCACAGTTTTACTAGAAGTGAGTGAGTTCATTTTTTTTCTATTTAATGTGTAACAGGAATCTCTCTTTGAAATCCTCAGATAAAAATAGAACACCCATTGCCTTATACTTTCAACAGGTTCAAAGTGTGACTTTCTTTTAGCTTTATTGTAAAATGAGTTTAATTGGGAAATGGTTCTTTTCTTAAAAATTAACCTTTTTTTGACCATTCATTTGGGAAAATGCTTAATCTGTACCTGTTATTCATTTTGGTTATTTGGTGTTCCTAGGGAAAGTGAAGAAGGAGCTTGATCATGATGATAATCATTCTCATTTGGATGAGACAACTAAACTATTGCAGGACCTTCATGAGGCTCAAACTGACAGAGTGGGATCCAGGCCTTCATCCAACCTCAGCTCCCTCTCCAACGCCTCTGAAAGAGATCAGCATCATCTAGGTAACGTTAACTGTACCTCAACAGTTGCAACATCACTATTCTAATTTAAATTTCCTAATTTTAGGACAAAAGAGAATCCCGTACAGGAAATGTATGTTCTAGTTATGTAAATTGCTATTTAAAGATTACTTGGATAAAACACAGTGTGCAGACTGCAATAACTGTGTTTAACCCTAAAATGTGTGTATTTATCTGAATATTAAAAGACTTCCTTTTAGCCTATGGATTCTTGAGGGTTAAAAACAGTTTATCAATTCTGCTTACTCAAGTTTCAGATTAAGCATGAATGGAATAACCTATAAATCAAACTGATGTTTGAATAACATTTGCAGCACACCCCTCAATTTTATGTCTTTAAAAATGGTATGGCATAGATTCTTTACATAGCTAACGGACTGTGCTGAAATGAAGCAAAGTGTTCTATAAGATTACAATTAAGAAAATATACTACCCGAATCCAAATAGAACTTTTTTTTATTGTGTAGACCTGTGTTGTTCACACAAACAGCATTTTGACTCACACACACAAACTTAACTTTTTATGATAGCGTGCATTGTGTGTGTGTGTGTGTGTGTAAGGTTTTCAATTAAATGCATATAAGAAATGAACATTTTAGAATTGAAATGGAAGGGAATTATTATGAATGAATGAGATACATTAACCAAATCACCCTCAGATAAAGCAAAATGTTTTGTGCGTAAAACAGAGAATCTGATTGTATGTAATGAAGTGAAATAATCAAACCTAATTAAATACACATCAGTTTGTAAAATCCTCGAAGAGTAAAAACAAAACAAAAAAAAATCAGACTTGACAAGGCACTAACATAATCATATAAAACTGGTGGGCACTAACCTATTTAAATAACTTGGTTACATCAAGTGCTAAATAATCAGTGCTGCAGTTGTTTACTTCCTCAATTAAGCAAGGATAATCTTAAATGTATTGCATCTCCACTGCACATCATCAGCATATTATGTATCTTTTTAATTTTCTTCCTTTGTGCGTCTGACGAAGTGGGCATTCACCCACGAAAGCTTATGCTCCAATACGTCTGTTAGTCCTAAAGGTGCCACAGGACTCTCTGTTGCTTTTTACAGATCCAGACTAACACGGCTACCCCTCTCTTCCTTTTTGTGATGTTTTATCAAACGTTCAAAACATCATCTCTTATTGCCTCTGCTAGCAACAAAATAAGCATAAGCCAGAGAAGCATTCCTTTCAACTACATGTCCCTCCACTGAGTTAAAGCATTAGTCCATAGGAAATCCACTTCTGCTGGGACCCTGTAATAACCTCCCCATTGTTCGTTTTAAAGTTCGGGGGTAAGACAGAGCTATATGCTGATACACCATTTTAATACTTTTCTGCAGTTTTATTTAAAAGAGGATAAGTACCGTCCATGGATAATTTTATTACATCATTTTAGCAATTTAGAGTAATAGAACAGAGGCAAATTTTTCAAAAGCACCTAAGTTCTGATTTCATAAGTTATTAAGGAGCCTCTAGTCCCATTGACTTTTGATGTGACTTATGCTTTTAAGAGACTAAATCACTTTTAAAAATAGGACTTAGGTACTTTTGAAAATATTACCCTAGGACAGGGGAGGGCAAACTCCGGCCCGCGGGCCGGATCTGGCCCATGGGATTGCCAGCCCCGCACCAGTGGACGGCACCATGACTCTGTGGCCCCTGGGCAAGGGGGAGTCAGGGGGCTCCGTGCGCTGCCCTTGCCTGCAGGCACCACCACTCCGCAGCTCCCATTGGTTGGGAACGGGGAGCCACGGCCAATGGGAGCTTCGGGGATGGTACCCGCAGGCGAAGGCAGTGCGTGGCGGAGCCGCCTGCCCCTCGCCACCCCCGGGAGCGACTGCTGGACGTGCTGGCCATTTCCAGGAACAGTGCAGGGCCAGGGCTGGCAGGGAGCTTGCCTTAGCCCCGCTGCATGCTGCTGCCATCCTGGAGCCACTTGAGGTAAGTGGTGCCAGGCTGGAGCCCGCACCCTGAACCCCTCCTGCACCTCAAACCCTTGCCCTGAGCCCCCTCCCACACTCTGCACACCGCAGCCCCTCCCACACCCCACATCCCTTCTTGCACCCCAATTCCATTCATGGCCCTGCATACAATCCACAATTTCTCCACCCAGATGTGGCCCTCAGGTCAAAAAGTTTGCCCACCCCTGCCCTAGGACATGGAGGAAGGGTGGAAAGAACATATTAAATACCAGTGCAGTTTTACGTCTTTAAGGCCTGCCTGCTAGATTTTTCTCTCTTACTAATTTTTTTTTTTCTTCTACTACAGGAAGTCCTTCTCATCTGAGTGTAGGAGAACAACAAGACATGGTACATGACCCCTATGAATTTCTTCAATCTCCTGAACCTGCAAATGCCACTAGTAATTAATGTGTACAATATTTCATTTTTTATTTTTATTTTTTGTTTTAATTGTGTAACATTTTTATAAAGTTTTTGTCAAATGGCAGAAACCTCAATTTTGTCCTCTTTTCTGTGAGGATAGCTGTATAATACCATGCACATTTGTAAAATTTGCCTAGCTAATGTATCATGTTGTCAACACCACACTAAATATTGCCTTCATTTTTTTTTTAAATATAGTGGTCAATAAGAATCTCAATAGGAGAAAAAACAAATTGTGTGTTATAGAATGACATTAGATAAGTAGGATGCGTGCAGTTCTTAATATATAGAACATCCTCAAGGAGGAATATTTATTTTTCAGCAATGACACGACTTCCTGAATTGTGATCATTTTCATGTTCCCACTCCCCTTCCATCCTGTTCTGTAGAGAGGGGCTATGTTTCTCTGTGTCTTAAAATATAGTTTCTTAACACTCCAAAAACACTTAATTTGGAAACATAAAACGCTCTGTAGCTGTCATATCAAACAGCTCACTATAGGAGTTCTGCCCTGCAACTAAATGGAGATAAATATATTGTGGTCCCTTTTATCCATGAACAGTACAGGGACCAAATACCTAGATTTTTTTTTTTGTAAAGGTAATATGTGTATTTACTTGAATGAAAGTATACTGGACAAAAGGGTATGCTTTTATGTAATTAAGTTTTTGTAATTCAACACTGACGTGACAGGGTTTTTTAACATTGATATTATGTGTAATCTAGATGAATGTTATGCATTTACAATATTTTGTAAATATTAACTTAATAAAAGTCATACAAAAATCAACTTTTTTGAAGTTTCCCCATGTCTTGTTATTGCCAAAATGTAAGTTGCTTGCTTGTTCTTGCTTAAACCTAACATATCCTAAGTTGCTGGTCTGTATTATCTTATTGCTATAAAGGGCACATGACATTACATGACCATATTGCAAAGCTTAGTTGCACACAATACTAGTTGGGAACACTTTGAAAACAGTCAAGAAGCTTGGCAGACATTTGGGATTAGGGAGCAAAGTCCTTTGGATTTCCCAGTGGTGAGCTATGCAAGTGTGGTCTTGACTTTTGAGTCGCATGTTTATGGATATTTGTAACTAAACTTGCATTTGTACATTGTTCAAGGTCAAATGTAATCAGTAACGTTGCTGGTGAGTATTTGCTTCAGGTTGGGAGGCTGTCTGTAAGCGAGGACTGGCAAATACTCACCAGCAACTAAACACCACACAACAAAAACACTAACCCAGGAACCAATCCCTGCAACAAACCCCGTTGCCAACTCTGTCCTCATACCTATTCAAGGGTCACCATCATAGGGCCTAACCACATCAGGCACAGCATGAGGGGCTCGTTCACCTGCACATCTACCAATGTGATATATGCCATCGTGTGCCAGCAATGCTCCTCTGCCATGTACATTGGCCAAACCGGACAGTCTCTACGCAAAAGAATAAATGGACACAAATCAGACATCAAGAATTGTAACATTCAAAAACCAGTAGGAGAGCACTTCAGTCTCCCTGGACACTCAATAACAGACTTAAAAGTGGCAATTCTTCGACAAAAAAAATTAAGACTTCAACGAGAAACTGCAGAACTGGAATTAATTTGCAAACTGTACACCATCAAATTAGGCCTGAATAAAGACTGGGAGTGATGGGTCACTACAAAGAGTAATTTTCCCTCTTTTGATAATCACACCTTCTTGTCAACTGTTGAGAATAGGCCACCTTAATTTAATTGGTCTCGTTAGCCCTGACCTCCCCCCGCCCCCAAACTTGGTAAGGCAACTCCCATCTTTTCATGTGCTGTGATATATATACTGCTTATTGTATTTTTCACTCCATGCATCTGATGAAGTGGGTTTTAGCCCACGAAAACTTATGCCCAAATAAATTTTAGTCTCTAAGGTGCCACAAGGACTCCTCGTTGTTTTTGCAGTATCTCCATAGTTAGAGTTGTAACTAGTTTAAAAGTTACATTTGACTTACCTGACTCTTTTTTTCTTTAACATTGAACCAGTCCAGTTGAATTCTGTGCTCCTTTTCAGAAGGGGAAAGTTTTAGAGATAGTTTGGTGGTAAAGAGAGGAGTTTGAAATATCAGAAGTATTTCACACTTTGAAAATTAACATTTTTTTAACACTATCTCAAAAAATAGCTTGGCCTAGTGTCATTATCCCAAGGTAAATGTATCTTTTGACCCCCTCATGCTCTCTCCCTGTGGGCACCCTTCCAAGTGCCACACCCAGCACCTGCATTTTTCTGAATGGAATTCTGCCATTCCACTCCACTTTTAGACTGGACCTGAGTTACAGCACCCCTCTTTACCAACTCTTTTCCCTCAGCACATCCAGCTGGGCTTGGTCCCTGCTATAGACTTCCCTTCAGGGACTGTAAACCGGAGGTAAACACAGTGACACTGAACAGCTTCAAAACAAAGTGTTCTCTGTTTATCCATGTGAACACAGCCATCAGAGAAAGAGGATTAAAATAACAAAAAGTCTATTGTCTTCATTGAAAGTTTAGGCATATCCGTCAAGGTTTAGGTAGGTCCCATGTATCCTGCTGCTTCATGGGACTGGAGTTCTGTCTGCTTTTTTGCAGATTCTGTGTCTGAGTTTAAAACAAAGAATTTAGTAACTTAAGGTCTCCCTGCTTGGATTCTCCACCCCATCCCAAGTTATCATCCAGATTGGTGGTCAAAGTGTGGTGGGGATAAACTTTCAAAGGAATTGATCCCTGTATTAAGTACATCAGTGATTGGGTTATCTAAAGCATTGTCTGCCTTCCTACAGATGTGCAAAGCCAACTTGGACTGAGTTAACTGCACCCTTGTAGCAAACAGCATTACAATAATCAAATAGGGATACACATCATATTCCTAACAAATAACATATCCCATGTTATTCAGACCTAGAAACCCTAACTGTGGCTTAATTTTGTGTCTTAAAACCCACCCTTCCACTACTCTAATGTAATAGGTCTATTTTTGTGAAAACTCAAAAGGTTTTGTGCACACTTTAAAAATTCATGAGGTCTCATATGAGTCTGTAGAAATGGAATGTGCATGTGCTCTGGGATGGTACAACAAGAGGGTGGATCGGGGAAGGGCTCTGAGAGGAAAGGAGAGGAAAATAGCCATCAAATAAATTAATCTGAGTTATTGAGAAAGGGCCCCTGGCTCTTTCCTTGTCTACACATAATACAAAAAGAACTGACTAGTGGTGGCCATGTGGTCATCTGTGATAAACCTGGTTGCACCAGACCAGTAATAACCATGTGGGACTTTTAGAATGAAATAAAGCCATACAATATGGCCATGGACATCTGGCGTTATGGACTCATGTTGTTGTAGGGTTTTAAGGTTGTGAGGTCAAGTCATTAAAATTCACTTGTATGTTTCCAAAAAAAAAAAAAAAAACTCCATCACTAGAAATAATAATCTCTGCCACCATTAAAGGATTGGACTCTAGCCTTGGTGAATATGTAGTTCATTAAAGATTAACTTTCAAGCTACAGAAAAACAGATAAATGAGAATCTTAACTTTTCCTGCACTAGGTGAAATCAGTTATCAAGTAACAAAGAGGACTATATTGTATAGAAAGTAAATTTTCACCATGTGTTTGTCCCTTCCTATTCCTTTCTTATTCCTGGTTTCTATACTTTGGTTGTTTGTTTTTTAAACAAATCTGCAGTTATCTCTAAGTGATCATTTACCATCCCATGAGGAGATATAAACTCCTTGCTGCTTTTTCTATATACATGTCATTTTATTTTGTGTGTGTATATCGATGCATATCGATACAGGTTCATTGTTCTGAAAGATCAGAACAATTTAAAGTCTACAAAATAGCAGTCTTACAAGTAGGGAAAGAACCTAAGCTTTCTAATAAGTGCACAAAATGCATAGCTATGACTTGTAATACCTGTTCTGGATGCTGTCTAAGGCAGATTGAATTGACTGTGGTTGGAGTTTGTTACAAACAATCTGAGGAGATATCACAGTATTTAAAGACACTCACCTTCACCACCAATGTAAATACTTATCCAAGACTTGAAACTCCCAGACGTCAGATACACCCACATGGACAAGCAAACTACTGCACTGCTCTTTGTTTCTTGTTGAAAGGAATTAGTAAATTTAGGCATGAAGTTACTTTTTTAAAAAAAGAAATACAAAGGTGCCATAACATTCAGCCCTGCCAGAAGGTTCTGTCTGGGAACTGAACCTGGAACTTTACATCTCCACATGTCTACATGTGGAATTAACTGCTATTCCTGAATAATTCTGTGTGTGTGTGATGCATTCTATATGATTTTATGAAAGTATGCTGATGAGTGTGAATATCATGTAACTAACATATGCTTCATGCAAAAGGTCTCTTGTAAGGTATCATTACAAAGTTTATAATCTACTGAGTGTGGTCATCCTATTTGTAAAAGTGTATTACTCTTGTATCTGAAACTAGAAATATGAAATATAACTCTGAGGTCCTATCGTGTGGACACAATAAGAGTGCCTTGCTCATTTTTCATTTGAAACTTTTTAAAAATAGGAAAAGATAAACAGCAAAAACAGTAACTTTCTCTAATTTTTTAGTTAGGGTAGTTTTAGGTAAATATTTTCAGGTGACTTTAAACTGATTAAGTCCTTTTAAAGAAAGGATGCCTTCATAGGCCCTGTCTACACTGGCAAGTTTCTGTGCAGTAAAGCAGGTTTCTGAATTGTAACTCCTGAGGTGTACACACTGCCAAGCCACTTAGTGCGCAGAAACTGTGCAGTTGCAGCGCTGTAAAAAAACCACCCCAACGAGAGACATACAGCTTTCTGCGCCATGGGTACAGCGCTGCCGTGACAGTGTAGACACCGTGGTCTATTACAGTGCTGTGATTGGCCTCTGGGAGGTATCCCACAATGCCTGTTCTTCCCTCTCTGGTCATCGGTTTGAACTCTTCTGCCCTGACCTCAGGTGACCAACCATCATCCCCACCCCATAAATTCCTTTGGAATTTTGAAAGTCCCCTTCCTGTTTGCTCGGTGATGCGTGCAGTGGTCTCAGCGCATCTTTCCAGGTGGCCATGCCTGCTCCATGCACCAGGCAATGCCGAGCTGCTGGACCTCATCAGCATTTGGAGAGAGGAGGCTGTCCAGTCCCAGCTGCGCTCCAGCCATAGGAATTATGATACCTAAGGACAGATTTCACAATGCGTGACAGAAAGGGGCCATGACCGGGACACACTGCAGTGCAGAGTCAAAGTAAAGGAGCTGCGGAACGCCTACCACAAGGTGTGGGAGGAAAACTGCTGCTCCGGTGCTGCGCCCACGAGCTGCTGGTTCTACAAAGAGCTGGATGTGATACTTGGTGGCGACCCCAGCTCCACTGCAAAGACCACTGTGGATACTTTGGTGGCTTGCATGCCAGTCGAGAGTGGACCGAGCCAGTAGGAGGAAATCTTGGACAAGGAGGGGGATCCAGAGACAAAGGATGACTTGGAAGTCAGAGATGCATACAGTCAGGAGCTCTTTTCTACCCCGTAGGAGGCTAGCCAGTCACAGCTGTCGGACGTTGGTGAAGTGCAAACAGGAGAGGAGGCCCCGGTAAGTGGATCTGATTTTGGGAATTCTTGAAGCGAGTTGTTGGGGGAAGAAGAGTTGCAGAAAGCAGGCATGCCTCCCATGATATGCCTAGTGTGAGCGGTGGAACAGGATGTTGATTGACTCCCTCAACAGTCATTCTGCACTTGCTCAGCCTATTGTTGAACTGCTCCTTGCTGCTGTCAAGTTGCCCCG